GTTAAATTCTTCTCTGAAATAAAAGGTTCCCTGATTTTAGGAACAGAGCATTCCCCAGATACTGAAACACAGAATGGGAAGCAAGATAAATATTCTGGATAGTATACTCTTTGATGACCCTTATTTTTAATAACAAGCACTTTCCATGTTTTTATTTTAAGATATTTATATGATCTCTACTTTAACGTGACAGATGAGCTGGTTGACAACCACATCTCATGATGGAGGGGCATGTTCAACATCAGTGTTGAGACAAATGGAGACACATAGAGCAGTTAGTTTCAGGCATTTCAAAGCCTCTTGTTTTTTCAATATGATTACTGTTTCACATCATAACTATGAGGATATTACAGCTTCAGATACTTGAAAAATATCTTAAGGACTTAATCTGGCAAATTCTGCTATAAGTAAGGCATATTCTATAGGTGTCATCCTTGCCTTCCCACCATGTAATTGTAAAGGAAAGCAGAATCAGGACTAATTCAAGTCCAACCTGCAAAATGAACTCACTGCATACATTCACATGAATAGGCAAATGAAATATACTGGCTTTCTAAAATATAATGCAGTTAGACCTCCACTGTACAGAAGATGCACAGAGAGCATTTTTGCTGTGTCTACCTCCAAAATGATTTCTTCTTGATAACTTTGGATTATCCATGTTGTTCCTTTTGTGAGATTCTGTGATGAATTATCTTTTTTAAGTTTTATTGATCTTGCCTAGATTCAAACAAGTCTCCCCTGGGAGGTAAGGCTGTCACTCTTCTTTCTCTGCCTAATTCCTCTAGTGTCAATCTTTGTTTGCTTCCCTGCAGAATGTGAAAGATTACTACATTTTGGGGTAACACTGTAAGCTTCCCTCTAAGAAGATGTAGCCCTTCTTTAGCTTATCAACACAAAATGTGTAGTAAGCTCAATCCTTTCCTTAAAAAAAGAAAGAAAAAACAAGCTACCATTTCAGGTTAACCAAATTAAATTTAAAAAATAAATAAATAAATAGAAAATTCAGGAATGGAGGGGAAAGCGGGAGAGTTTTCATATTTTAGATCAACTCCTGGCAAGGCCAAAGAGCTATGCTGAGTAACACTTCTCTCTCTAGTCTGTAGCATACCTTTCCTCACCTTGTGGAGGTGAACCTCAGTCTGGTTAGGAACAGAAGTCTAAATAGCAGGGGAGTTGACAAGGAGGGCTAGTACAGTGTCCTTGTGCTGGTCCATAAAGGGGTATATGTACATGATGATTAGGGAATAGCAAATCAAAACAAAACAAAAAAAAAATTATAGCAAGTGCCTGGTCCTGACTCCTGATTAGGAGACTCCAGTGGGAAACCAGTCCTAGGGGAGTTTTGCAAAACCTTCCAACACAGTAGACAAGTGAGAAGGCTTCCTCTCCAGTAGAAATAATTTAATTTTCTAATTCTCTGCACACACTTGAACAAAAAATTTGCCACATGCAGCAGTGTGATTGATCATCCTAATCCCAGGGAAATTTACAATATAACAGATGATATGAAAATCAAGTTTCCTGGAGCTGCTGCACTTAGAATCAGCCTTGTGGGGCTTCTATGAAGAGACAGAGGAGAGAGAGATTGAATGGCTTTTTTAAGCCACTTGTATTGCACTGTTTCAATGAGCAATGCATTTATGTACGTATCCAATGCATTTATGTATGTATGCTACTCCTTTTCAAATGTATTTTCCTGTTGACAAGATTGTATTTAATTATCATCTTTCTTTTGGTGGGTTCAGGGGTCAGGTCTTAATCATATTTTTCTTTACTATTCAGTTTATAGAGTATTCCAGGATTCCAGGGCAGCCCGTTGTTACATATGTGCCATGCCTAACACAAAGGATCTCCCAGCACAGGCAGGGCTTCTACCTATTCTTCTAATAATTAAAAAAAAAAAAAACAATTAAGCATTGTATATGAACTTTAAATAGAGAATACCTTCAATACGGAAGCACACTGTGTGTTCCACTCAACTCTCATGCAGCTGCACTACCTCTTTTCGTCATATCAAAACTTAACAGCACATTTTTAAGTCTCAGTTCCAGCAGCTAATCAGTTCTAGCACTCTTTGGTGTCTGAGTTGATTTTTTTTTTGTTTGGTTTGGTTTGGTTTTTGGGGGTTCTTTTGGGGTTTTTTTTGGTGTTTTGTTGGGGTTTTTTTTAAATTCTTTGTTTTTTGCAAGCTCTCACAGAGTTTTGGGATTTTTTTTTTTTTTTTTTGGTTGTGGTTTGGGTTTTTTTTGCTTGGTTGATTGGCTGGTTGGTTCGAGGAGTTGGGTTGTTTGTTTGTTGTTTGCTTAGTTCTGTTGCAGTCTGTTTCATTTTTTTAAAATGTCCCATCAGCAGGTTAGCCAGTACTAATATCCTGCTGTACGGTGGCTTGTTGCAATCTCTTACAATAAGGAGAGATTTATAATTGCAAACACGATTGTTTTGAGCTCTAAAAGAAATGTCAGCAATATTCAGTGCCATCAGCATTGACCGCTCGGCTTGGAATCCTATACGTCGTGAACTTGGTTTTCTTCAGAGAAAACCCCTTCGCCACTGGCCTTGATACCTTGCGTAGCAACAGTTTGGATAACGTTTCTGGCCAACGAGCTCAGAATCTGCACTAATATCTTGATGGGAAACGAATATTTCGGGGTATTTATTTACTTCGTCTAGCTACACGGGTGTTTTACACGTTCGTTGTTCATTAATTCCTAACGATCGTCGCTTTGGGGTGGGTCAGCAGTGAGTTGTGAAACCTGACTGTGTGCTAACTACGGCATGTAGAACTACTCTTTCTGTTGTTTTTACCGTAATAAAAAATAATAAAGTAATAATAATAGGGAAAAAAACCCTCTCTCCGTTTTTGTGGGTTCGCATTTTTCTTCAGTTGCTTCTGTAACTCCAGCAACAATCTGGAGGGCAAAATGATAAAACAGAGAGAAGACTGCAAATGGTTTGATAAATGCGGTGAAAAGTCTATTAATTGCCGAACAACAATTTCTTATATAGTTATTTTTCGCCTAGGAGACATCCTAGGCTGTGGTTACATGGAAGGGTAGTTTCTTTAGATGAATTTTAGTTCCGTATTATAGAACCAAAGAAAGGGACATTAGTATAGCTGTTGCATCTGATCAAACTTTCATTAGTTGGGATTTAGAAAAAGGCGGATTTGCCTCTATCGGTATTGATTAATCTCGTGGCAGTAATCAAGTAAGGGTCTATCGAGTTGGGAAATATTAGAATTAACAACCAAAGGAAGGTTTCGATATAGATCATCAGTTATGAAAACAGGCAAACATCACCCTGGACATCATCGTTTCTATGTGCCTCCAACTGGTTTTTAGCCACGTAGTAACCCATGGACTTAGAGGTTTTTAATTTCTTTAACTATCACCATAAATTCAGATCAGAAAAGGGTCGGTTGTGTGACCCAGACCGTCAATTCGTCTCCTGCATCTTCCCGGGAACTACAGTTTGGGGAAATCTGAGCTGTGAAGTGCACCCGGCAGGTCCCCTTAAGTGTGTCCACTTGGCTACACCGCCCTTGCCACAGCCTCGATAATATTCTTTTTTTTTATCAAAGCAAGGGCACCCTGTGAGACTCCTCTTGCTACTTGACACTAATTCGAATCTGATTAAAAAGGGAGAGGAGAGGTCAAACAACTCTCCTAGATCATCGCCACGGCGAGAAAACTTCACAGAGCTGCAGGAGCCGCTTTCCCGAGCTCGGCTGGCGCCGGGACCGCCGCGGCACTGGCTCCCTGCCACAGCAGCTCCTCCGCGGCTGGGACAGAACGCCAGCAGCGGCCCCGAGCCGCGGGGTTCTGAGTGCGCCGGGGTCCCCTCGCTGGGCTGGGGGATCTTTGCGCATCTATATCTACTGCCCACGGAAAGACAAATGGAAGAATAGCTGGAAAAGGAAGAAAAACCCCTTCTTATCTAGCCGAAACACTGATTGCTTTTTTTCCCCGCTGGGAAACCCGTTCTCGCACTGGTGAGTTTCGTAATGACACAATTGTGGTTTTGATCTTTATTTTTAAAATAAAAACCATCGATGCACTCTAGGAAATACCTTTCTTTTCATACTGCCCAGTAGTGACTGTATTGAAAAGGCAGGCGTTTCAGCTTTCTGAAAAGGTTTATTTCCAACCTGGGGATATAAAGCGTGTGAACTTAGAAACCAAAGGACGACAAAAGCGTTTGCAAATATGTAAAAAAAAAAAAAAAAAAAAAAAAAAACTTTTTAAAAAAGAAAAAAAAAAAAAAAAAAAAAAAAAACACTTGTTACTCTAGGATAGCAGATAAAATCTTCCCACGAAATTTCGAGGGGCGGGATTAGCACAAGAGACAGCTTGTCTTGTTCTGTAAAAACATCACACAAGCCCCAGTTTGAGAACCAGTTAGCACAAAGAATGTAAGAGAGAGTTTGGGGTGTTTTTTCAAAAGGGGAAAAAAAGTAGGAAAGTCACAGCTTAGGAACCACATCTCAGTAAAGGTGTCTACATTTTGATAGTGTCAAAGATGGGGAGAGGTTACTCTGAGAGATATTAGAGGTGGAGAGTTTGAGAGAGAGGAGTACAACGCGGCCTTTGCCTTTACCAATCTGTAAAACTCGGCTCACGGTACAGCGACCGCCACGGCGCTTGGGGCAGACGTGGGGACGTAGTCCCCGTGGGCTGAGGCAGAGTATGGGCTCCCCTCTAATACGGGAACGGGATAATTCGGAAGGGAGGCAGGCAGAACACGTCCCGGTCTCTTTGGTGGCTTCGTGTTATCTCCTCCATCCTGACAACAGAAAAAAGCGCTGCAAGAGCAAGGGTGGTCTGGCAGCGCCCTTCCGAGCTTTAGCAATACGTTGGCAGCCCACGGACACGCGTGGGGGGAACCCGAGCGGCCCTTCCGTCGGCTGTGGTGACGACTGACAACCCAGCGGCACGGCGGGGTCATAAATAACATCGGGTGGCCCCCGGCGAGGGGAAGGTCGGGGGCCGGGGGAGAGGCTATACGTCCCCGTCCACCAGGCTGAAGTGTTTGCCCGGCCCGGGGAGGCAGAGGTAGGGGATGGCGTTGCCCGGACAGAGCAGGGGCAAAGGTAGCGGTAGCAAACACCGACTGAGCAGGGGGTTGTCCTTGTAGAGGGCCGGGAAGGAGAGAGACGTGGCGGCGGCGGGGGGCGGCGGGTCCCCGGGGGGCTCCGCCGGCCCCGGCCCAGGGCCCTCCGCCTCGGACGACATTTGTCTCTTGAGCTTGTTGCGGCGGTTTTGGAACCAGATCTTCACCTGGGTCTCGGTGAGATGTAGCGCGGCGGCCAGCCCGGCCCGCTCCGAGCTGCTCAGGTAGCGCTTCACGTCGAAGGTGGACTCCAGCTGGAACACCTGGCTCTTGGAGAAGATGGTCCGCGTCTTCTTCCTGCCGCCAGCCGCCGGCAACCTCCCGTTCTCAGCGCCGCAGCCCCCGGACTCTCGCGTCGGCGGCTGCCGAGGGGCGCGCAGCCTCTCTTTGGGGAGCGGGGACGCCGCATCCCAACCCTCGGCCTCGCGGCGGAGGCCACGGCTCGTCCCTTCTGCCCGGAGCCGGCTGGACTCGCTGCCTGCAAGGGCAAAGCACAGCATCAGTGCCCGCCGCCGCCCGCGCCCCCGCCCCGCATGCACGCACGGCCCGGCGGAGCGCAGGGAGAGGGTGGGGGAGAGGGTGGGGAGGGGGCTGCCGAGGGCTGGCCGTGGTCCCACACCCTCCAGAGGGGAGAAGAAGAGTGAGGCGCTTCCATAAGGATCTAAGGGAATCCCTTTGCCAGCTGTGTGACGGGGAAGTGAGGGGCTCCCGGGCACGGGACAGACAACCTGGGAGGAGGGCGCAGCGCCCTCAAAGCAGGTTGGTGCGTGTGCGGTGGCATCTTCCCGTGTCCTCCCGCCGAGCCTCCCTTCCTCCTCCGGCTGCGGGCGCGCCGCGACTGCGTGTGCGTGTCTGTGTCTGCGTGTGCGTGTCTGTGTCTGCGTGTGCGTGTCTGTGTCTGTGCCTGCGCATCCGTGTGCGCGGGCCCAGCACGGCGGCGCTGAGGATACCCGGAGGTACCGCCTGGGTGGGGGCCGGGCTGCGACCCGACGTGCGAGACAGCCTAAGGTGGCTGCTGGCTCCGTACCCGAGTCTCTGGAACCTTTACTGGGGTCTTGCTCCGCAGGCCCCTCTCCCTCCTCCTCCTCCTCCTCCTCCTCCTCCTCCTCCTCTTCCTCCGGCGGGGCGCAGCGGGCTCTGCCCTGCTCCCGGGATGGGCGGCAGGGGCCGGGCTGCAGGATACTGGCGATGCTGAAGGCCGGTGGCGCGGCCGGGGCCGGCGGGGGGGCTCGGCGGCCGCTCCCGAGCTGCACCATGGCGAGGAGAGCCCGAGCCGAGACGAAACGCTCTGAGCCGAGTCGAGCCGAACCGAGCCGCAGGACTGGCGGCGGCTGCGGGAGGGCGGCAGCGGCAGCCGGGGCGGAGGGAAGGAGGAGGAGGGGTCGGAGCGGTGGAGGGAGGGGATGGAGCTAGAGGGAGCCAAAGGACTGAGGACGGGGGGGAGCGGTGCAGCGGAGGGAGAGAGGGAGAGAGAGGGCAGGCGGCAGAGAAGAGAAGGAAAAGGAGCAGGAGATAGAAGGGAGCAGGAAGAAAGTGAGGGGCGGGGGGCATGCCAAGGTGCCCCGAAAGGGTGTCCTCGACAGGCGGGGCGGGGCAGGGCTGGCTGCTCTCCTGCCCAGGCCCTTCACTGTACGTGGGTGGAGGGAAGAAAGAGTCAGATCCAGGAGAGCCCATGGGAAAGGCGAAGAGGAGATGGGATGGCAGGACAAACATCTCTGGATTGAAGGAGGAGGATGTAGGGAGAAGACTGGAAATGAGAACAAGGGAATGAGGCGGAGCGTGGCGAGGAAAAGCGATGATGGCAGTGAGAGAGGACAGGAGGGAAAGAGGAAGCTGGGAGCCGCGAACCCCTTCCCTGTGTTTGTACGGCACGCGACAGGACCTCAGGCAGTCTGCTGAGGGCATGTGCTGCAGATTGTCCATGCTTCTGTCCGGGAATTGGGTAGACTGTGGAAGAGTAATTCCTATAGCCAGAGTCACTTCTCCGTCCTCCTTTCACGTGCAGACCCTCAGACTGAATGCCCAGGGTTCCCTTGGGGAGAAAGCGATCCCTTCTCCTTCTGAGGAGCCCCGTAGTGTCAGGCCACCCTGAAATCCATACATAACCTCCACACGCTGCTCCCTACTACACCACTCCGTCACTCCACCCCCTCCCCGCGGGTCAGCAGAGCTCTTCTGTAACTTTCAAGTGAGAAAGTGCTGGCCGGGTGAACGGGTGTGTGTGAGTACTCCAAGGTGTGCCTCTGGGGAATTAGGAAGCGTTCCCCTGAGCTGTGGAACTTGGAGGAGGATCGATGTGTTTCTGTATTATCTTGAGAACTTTTACTCCCTACCACCTCCCAGCACTGCAAAGTTTTATGACGAGTTTGCACTACTCGAGGCAGGACGTCCAGCGATTTTAGAGCCACTATCAACTGTGGATCGCAGGGAAACCTCTCCCTCCCTGTGATCCTGTGTAAAGCCAGGGGAATGCTTCCAAACAGCTTTTAAGGGGGCTTTTAGTCGGAATCTCGAGGTTCCCACCACGAAAACTACTGAGGGCAAGCGAGAAGCCCTTGAAAAAGAGTAGGCAATAGAAGTGCTGACAGGCTTTTAAATATTGTGATGCCAGAGACTCCATGAGCTAAAATCAGGGCATCTTAAGGCTTTGGACTACTTTAAACTTTAACGCAGTGGTACTTGAAAGAGAGAGTTTCAGCTCTTTTTCATGAATTTTGTTTCACTTTATAAATTCACTCAGATTTTAATGGAGCCGTCTGCTGGAGAGCTGTACATTTTCCACCAGGAAAAAAAAAATCCTTCTTCCATCAGCACTGTTGTTGGCCAAATGCCCAAAATTGCTGCATTTGTCTTGCAGTCTCCTGTAGAAACTGGTGGTTTTAACTGAGCAAAATATCCATTTAAGACGCAATGATATGCCGAGGAATGGGCCAGGGTTTAGAGATACGAATTGAGAAGAAGTAGCTGAAAATACAATTTAGGAAATTGTGAGTGAGGTGGTAAAATCAGGAACATGGGAGACTTGGACAGCAGGATGGGCCGGTCTTTGCTTCTGCACTTCTGTCTCGGCCTCTCTTCCCGCTGTCTACGAGTGAGACACTTTCCAGGTGCTCACATCTGTTCTTGCTGCAAACCATTTCCCTTTTAGTCCATCTTAAAAAGCCAATGCCTTGACTAAGTGTGTTTTCCTAGAAGACATTTTCTTGAGGGGAAAAAAAAAAAAAGGAAAACTTGAGGAAGACAGAAATTAAGAAGGAAAATTAAAAAGGAGACATAAGTTTTAGCATCCAATTTTTTTTCACCGCGCCTCCCTCCACGCCTCAAGAAGTCCAAGCCCAGCCCCGGGAGACCCTGCCCGGTAACACCCCGCCGTGAAAGGTTTGTCATCCTTCCCCAGCCCCATTTGGCCAGCTTTTCAAAACTGATTTTTTTTTTTTCCCTGACAAACTCCATACAGTGAGGGAGAAAGCTACAATGCTGGATCTCCTCAACCACTGGGGCAACAAGTTGGAATCAATTCACTGGCCACAGGAGGATAGGGGGGCCTCCGAGGTTCTCCCTGCAGGGAGTCCTACAAGCCAGATCCACAACGGGCTCCTCATGCCCTCTGCTAGGGTCACCCTTATCTTCAGGGGAAAGTAAAGACCAGTAGGTAGAGTGTATCCTGTAAAACCCCAACAACCACCTGCAAAGTGCTCTCCTACGGAGAGAGTGGGGCTGCGGCGGGAGAGGGCAGCGAAACCCCGCGGGTCTGCTCCAGGCCCCCAGCATCCCACTCTGAGCCCCGACCCGCCCGCATTTGACCCAGAGATGATGCGAAGAATAGTGTCTGCCGGGGCGACGGGCAAGAGTCCTTGCCAAAATTCAACGGCTTTTTCATGCACATGGTTCCCGGGACGCGTGGAGCACCCCGGGGAAGAGATTCGGCTGAGAGTAATCGTGGCTTTGGCCTTAACCTTAATCTTCGCTTTTTGCGAAGATTAGCTGCCAGGGTTGAGCCAGCAACGGGGATCTGGCTGCCAGAGAGGGGGTCCCGCGCTGTTCATCCTCCGCAGCACCTTTCTGCACGGTCGCGATTCACTCCCAGGCTCCGAAAGGTGTCGATTGTATGCAACAGTTTTTCTTATAGTAGGTAGAGGTTTTCCGACACTGTTACTTGTTACGCTCGTGCTTCATTTGTACTTTATTTGTGAGGAATGTCGTTGTCTGGGACGCGTGAGGATACACAGTGGCCGGTACCGCACAACTGCAGGGCAGGAAGAGCGAGTCTTTTCCTTTGAATAATAAAATCCTGTAATAGAAGCTAACATCGTGCAGAGTGGAAACCTTTTACCTGGGAAAGCTTTTTACCAAAAACGCTAGTACACGCACCTATATTTCTATTTCAGCTCAGAGTACAGAAAGTCTCATACTCTAAATCTGATGGAAATGAAATCTGATTAGATGGTACAGAAACGCCGAAGAGTCTGGTTTCACTTGGTTTACAGAATCGGGCTTGTTTTATCCCCCGATGTACTCGAGGGTAAAATAGGCCCTCCCTGGGTTTCACATCCCCTTGCAAATAAGACCCTGGCAATTGCGGACATAGCAACAGTGGTCTTTAAGCCGTCTCCGATGCTTTTCAGGGGACACAAACCGAGCGAGCAGGTCCAGAATAGAAGCGCTGTCTAAAGAGGTCATTAAAATCACTAGGCGAATCTGGGTATCTTGGCGCTGCCGGTCTCTAAATAAAACTCACTTTGGTGGTTCAGCAGTGGCTGGATATGAATCGCCGGTTGCTGTTGCGGTTTCCCCCCTCCAGGCCGGGTCCCCGACGCCACCAGCCTGGAGTAAGCAGTGGTTCGGGGCAACGGGGGCATCCTTCGCCTGAACCGGGCATCCTGGGGAGGGAGAGGAGGAGAGAGGGGAGGGAAATGGTTTCACTAGCTGGAAAGCAACTCTCCCTGGAGTTCCACTGGAAAACAGCTACACGAGTCACACAGAACCAGATTTTTGGGGAGCTGAGCGTGCTCAGCTAACAACCCAAGAGGTGTTGGGACACAGGCGGATGGGGCCATGTCCCAGGACCTCTAGACAGAACATCCCTTTTCGAAACCCTGTGTTTCCCTCTGAGGTCAGTTCAGAGTCCTCAGCTAAATCGGCTTCCTCCAGACGCTGCCCTTGATACCAGAGGCGTGCAGAAAAATCCTAGAGGCGTTTTCTGAATAAAGCTAGTTCAGTAGACTGGAATTGCTGAACAGGCAAGGGAAGGCAAGGCGAAGAGAGGAGAAGAGAGAAGAGGAGAAAAGAGAAGAGAAGAGAAGAGAAGAGAAGAGAAGAGAAGAGAAGAGAAGAGAAGAGAAGAGAAGAGAAGAGAAGAGAAGAGAAGA